ATTCCGGTTACTCCGACGCACAGCGCCGCTGGACTCCCCGCGTACATCTGCGCCCTCTGGCCGCTGACCACTAGCGCCACCTGACGCTCGATCGCCGCCAGCACTCGGACCAGACCCGCGGCTGCAGCTGTCGTCGCTGGCTGGTGCGCTGAAGGCGTCTCTTCTGACGGTTCCGCCTCCGACGTCCACTCGGACTGCTCCGCCCCGGATGCCGGTCGACCAGCGTCCAGGTCCACCGAGCCGTCCGACTCGGGCGCTGACGTAGCCGGTCTATCGTGGTCTGCCGCTGCCGGTCGCGGCCGCAGCGGTGCAGCCGCGCCCGGCTGCGCACGTTGTGGGCGATCTGCCGGCGCCGCCGTCAGTCGTTCACCGTGCACCCGAGTGCCGTCTTCCAGGCGGTAGCTCACCGGTCCCAGGCGGGCCCGATCCGGATTGGCTCAGTGAGACGTGGGCGCCCCTTACGGGGCCGGGGCATTCGCCGGACCCTCACCTGATCCCATACGTCGAATGGCGGCGTGCGCGCCCCGCGCCGTCCGTCGGCGTAGGCCTTTTCATAGGCCGGGCGGTTTTCCACCCGTCTCCGCACTTCTGACTCCGACACTGCCTGCTTTTCCGTTTTCAGAGCTGCGGCGTGCAGCTTTGTCCGCAGCTGCCGACCGTGCAGCAGTTCGGACCGCCTGACTCGGTTGTTGCATGCGGCGTGCTGTGGTATTGTTGCAAAAACTTTTGCAAATACCGCGCTCTTCCCTCGCCGCTCTTGTCCTCCGCCTGGAGTGCCGCCTTCACCGTCCGATTGGCCCGCTCCACCCGGAGACAGAGGGGGCTTCCCCCACAGGTACTTTCTCCATTTCTCGGCATCCCGGACGCAGGCCAGAGCTTCACGCTCCGTACACTGTAGCGTCTCTGGGCTGGGTTGAGGCTGCAGGAGGCGAAGCTCACCACTCGCTCGCCCTGCGGGTGGAGTTGGGAGAGAACTGCTCCGACTCCCACGTCGCTGGCGTCTGTGGTGACCAGCGTTGGCAGAGACGGGTCGTACATCGCCAGTGTCTAGCTCTTGAGGATGCCCTGCCGCACTGTGTCCATCACCGCCTGCAGATCGGGCGTCCACAGGAACGGTGGCGCCCCCTTCCGCAGCAGACGGCGCAGAGGCTCCACCAGGGTGCTGTAGCCCGGGACGAACCGACTGTAGGAGCCGAATAGGCCCAGCATGGTCTGCAGGTCCTTCAGCCCTGAGGGTGGGGGCAGGTCTCGGAGAGCCTGAACCCGGGCCGGGTTGACTGCCCCCCCCCCCCTCTGTGAGATGATGAAGCCCAGAAACTCCTTCTCTCGCTGGCGCATCCTGCACTTGTCCATGTTCGGTGTGATGCGACGTCGCCTGAGCCTCTCCATGACGGCTGACAGCTGCACCTCGTGCTGACTGGGTGTCCGAGCGAAGATGATGACGTCATCCAGATACACCTGCACTCCATCGATGCCTCGGAGGACAGCTTCCATCACCTTCTGGAAGGCTTGCGGCAGGCTCTTCAACCCGAACAGGCACCTCTTGTACCGCATGAGGCCCTGATGGGTGATGAACGTTGTCAGCGACCTCGAATCAGGATGCAGCTCCAGCTGGTGGTGTGCTGACTTCAGATCCAGGCTGCTGAACACCGTAGCTCCCTGCAGCTGCTCCAACAGGTCCTGCATGTCAGGTAGTGGGTGTCCACTTGCTTCCACTGCCTTGTTGACTTCCTTGAGGTCCACGCAGAGCCTCAGCTGACCATTCCGGCGTCTTGCCACCACGATGGGCGAGATCCAGGGAGATGAGTCCACTGGTTCGATTATTCTTGCTTGTTGCAGCTTCTCGAGATGCTGCCGCACCTCCTCCCTCAGTACATAGGGCAGAGGCCGCAGGCGTTGTTGTACTGGAGCCACTTCCTGGTCTGACTTCAGCCTCACTCGATGCACGAAGCCACTGAGACTGGGAAGTTCTTCTGGCTCCTCTCCTGGACAGCACGCACTGCTACCCCATGGATCACTGACAGCTTCAGCTTCTCCTGCAGGTCTCGACCCAACAGCGGCACACCAGCATCCACCACGTACAGGGACACTTGGGAGCTGTTGCTGTTTGGGGCCTGCACTGTCACCCTGCACCACCCCCTCCACTGGAAGGACTGAGGCTCCATAGGCTGCCAGCTGCACAGCAGTCGGCCGGAGCAGCAGGTGCTTGAACCTCTGCTAGTAGACAGACAGTGGCAGGATGCTGACAGCCGAGCCAGTGCCGGCCAACATCCTGAGGCACTGTCTGTTCACCATCACATCAGTCCACAAGCCTTGCTTGCTGTCAGAGTTCACTGCCAGCACTTCTGCCACCTGGACCTTTTTTCTGCTTCTTCTGCACTTGCTTCTTGGCACGCTCCTTGCAGAACTCGCCATAGTGGCCTTTTTCTGGCACTTGAAGCAATTCCCCAGCGAGCTGGACAGCTTGGACCTGCTGCCTGATGAGGGCCACCACAGTTGGAACACTGCTTGGAACCAGCACCGTGTCTCGCAGCAGTTACAGCAGCCACCTCCAGCTGTGAGGACACTGATGTCTGGCTCTGAGCAGTTCTCGCAACCAGCTGCTGACGTTCCGCCTCCATCTGCAGCATCTCAGCCACCTCCAGGATACGCGCAGAGGTGAGAGTTGGCTCCCTGCAGAGGCGCTCCCGCAGCCGGGGGTCACTGCAGCCCTCCAGGAACTGCTCCCCCACAAACTGTTCCTGCAGCTCACCGAAGCCACACCTGGCACTCAGAGCCTGCAGGTCAGCGAGGTACACAGCTGGAGACCGGTGATCCTGAACACATCTTCGGAACAACATCCGCTCAGTGTGTACGGCCTTCCTCTCAGGGAACAGCTTCCGGTCAGGGTGTACTTTCTTACCTAATATTAGAAAAAATCACTGTTCGCCATTCATTGTGTTTAAGGCAGGACATATTGTAAATAATCACCAAACAGGTAGATTCATGCTCTTACCTTCAAACTTTTTTATAATTACGATGGCGTGCTCCCGAGCACCGCACACACACCCAGCAGCCGCGACACTGGCACCATTACTGCGCGTGGTCACAACATTACTGCGCATCAAGCAGCATCAAGAACCATACAAATGTACTGGGCCAAGGTAACAAGGGGGGATTGAGTGGTGAATGTAAAGCAAAATGAGAACATGGCGGCTAAATAAAAGCTCACTATATGGCACCTATATATGGCATGGAACATGGACGCCAATGGGATGCTGGGTTGAAGGGGATATAGGGTGGGGAGGTTAGGTTATGTTAGGATAGGGTAGGCTAGGCTAGGCTAGGCTAGGGTAGGCTAGGCTAGGCTAGGCTAGGCTAGGCTAGGCTAGGCTAGGCTAGGCTAGGCTAGGCTAGGCTAGGCTAGGCTAGGCTAGGCTAGGCTAGGCTAGGCTAGGCTAGGCTAGGCTAGGCTAGGCTAGGCTAGGCTAAGCTAGGCTAGGTTAGGTTAGGTTAGGTTAGGTTAGGTTAGGTTAGGTTAGGTTAGGTTAGGTTAGGTTAAGTTAAGTTTGATTAAGCTAGGTTAGGTTAGGTTAGGTTAGTTAGGTTAGGTTAGGTTAGGTTAGGTTAGGTTAGGTTAGGTTAGGTTAGGTTAGGTTAGGTTAGGTTAGGTTAGGTTAGGTTAAGTTGGTTAAGCTAGGTTAGGTTAGGTTAGGTTAGGTTAGTTAGGTCAGGTTAGGTGAGGTTAGGTTAGCTTAGCTTAGCTTAGCTTGGCTTAGCTTAGCTTAGGTTCTGGTCTATTCTCAGGTTAGGTTAGGTTAGGTTAGGCTAGGCTAGTTTAGGATATGTTCTGGATTATTCTGGCCTGTGTGTTTCATAAACGTACCTAAACTCGATAAGGAACGATTTTGGTTGCTTTATTATTGTTACCTTGGTCCCGTACATTTTTTATAGTTCTTGATAACCAGAAATATTGTACTTACGCAACAACGCGGAAATGGCGCTTGGGAGTCGTGGCGGTGCGGTGCGATGCGTGCGGCGCTCGGGAGCTCGCTATCGTATTTATTAAAATTCGAGGGTAGGAGCATGATTCTACCTGTTTTGAAATTATTTACTATATGTTCCGCCTTAAACACGACGAATGGTTTACCTTGGTCCCCGTACATTTTGTAAAGTTCTTGGTAAGCAGAAATATTATATTTACGCAACGGCAACGCAGAAACGGCGCTGTCGAGTCCAGGCGGTGCGGTGCGCGCGGCGCTCGGGAGCCCGCCATCGAAGTTGTTGAAATTCGAAGGTAGGAGCATGATTCTACCTGTTTTGAGATTATTTACGATATGTGCCGCCTTAAACACGACGAATGGTGTGCAATGGTTTTTTTTCTAACGTTAGGTAGGAAAGTACACCTACACCTAGCTTCCTGAAGACTGCAGACACTGCCTCTACCTTTGAAATTGGGACAGCTTGACTTTTAAAGCTGGCGCCCTCCTCAGTCCCGGCAGCCGTCTCCTGCGCCTCGTTCACCGCCCCTGCGCCGGGTCTGCCGCAGCGAAGTAGAGACGGCGAGCCTCCTGCCCCACACAGTGCAGAATGAGGACCTCCCGGCGCTCCTCAGTCCAGGTGTCCCAACCACTCGCCACGGCGAAGATCAGGAACTCCCTGAAACACTGGGTCCATGAGATCTGAGGACGGCCGGGGGCCATCAAAAATGGCGGCGGGGCACGCAGGCTGTCCATGGCGTCGGCCACGTGGTTCACTACTCGTCGCCAAATGTAGTGCCGTCCGCTCTCACAGCCCGACCAAACACTAAGTCAGGCGTTACGTTAGGGATTCTTCAAGTACTTCACCTTTTTTAGAAGAAGAAAAATCTCCACTGCGAGCGTTTTACGTGCATGTGATTTTTAACACGCAGATAGCAGACGACTTATAACACGTACTTAAAGGGCAATATAAGCACCAAATCGCGGACATACGAGAAACCAAGAATAGTATCCCAGTCCTGTACATTCGTGTCTCGAACTATCTGTTGGTGCGCTGAGCCTTCGTGCGTAACATAATTTTGATCATTTTTATCAAATATTTGATAACTTACGGCACATCGCACGCAGACCAGAAAGGGTCCTACACTCTTGCCTTATCATTGCACTTCTTTCTACTTCTTAATTTATTATTGCACTCCTAATTTATTTCCAGTTGTGAAGCTTCAATTTATATTTCCAAACAGACAACACAGAGAAAGAGCCAACAATGTCGGTTGAACTGAAGCATTTCCAGCAATCCGAAAAAAACGGACCACGCCACGGGAACCCAACACCGAAGCCAAGCCAACGTTTTCGGTGCGGTAAATTAACGTGTATTAGTGCACCTCATGCACGAGTCCGGATAATACGATTCGCCCTCATTAGAACTTAACAGATCGTGACGACAATGTCGCTTAAGCTACAACACTTGGGTTCAGTTAATATGAATACTCCGTTGCCGTGAGATGCTGCCATCATGTCGTGCGGCGGGACTGTCGTAGCACCCTCTTAAAGTAGTGCACCTCTTGTACAATTCCAATGAGCGAGGCCTGAAATCTCGCTGACATCCAGAGATATACTCTGCCGAGATAATATGCCAACGGCAATCCTAAGGAAACGGACGAAGCCCCGGGAAAATAAGACTGAAGCAATGCCAGCGTTTTTGCTACGGTACGTATGCGTCTATTAGCGTAGTGCACCTCACACACGAGTCCGGATAATGCGATTCACACTTATTGGAACTCAACACATCGTGCTGACAATGTCGGTGAAACTGCATGACTTCAGTCCGATGAGTAAGACTCATGCATTGCCGTGAGATGTTGCCATCATGTGCGAACGGACTGCAGTAGCACCCTCTTCAAGTAGTACACCTCTTGCATAATTCCAATGGCGAGACCTAAAAACCGCTCTGACATCCAAAGACATTCTCTACCGAGATAATATGCCAATAGAAATCCTAAGGAAACGGACGAAGCCCCGGAAATTGAAGACTGAAGCAAAGCCAGCGTTTTCGGTACGGCACATTTACGTCTATTACCGAATGTGTGCTGAACCGGAACATCCAAATCGTACCAAACTGACATCCAGACATGCTCTACCGAGAGAATATGCTAACAACAATGCCAAGGTAATAAGCCAAGCCCCGGAAACCGAAGACCGAAGTAAATCCCACGTTTTCAGTACGGTACATATGCTTTAATTGGCGCAGTGCACCTCATACACGGGTCCGAATAATGCAATTCACACTCGCTAGAAATAAAACGTGTGGACAATGTCGGTTCAGTTACAACACTTCGGTTCAACGAATAAGACTCATGCACTGTCGTGAGATGTTGTCATCATGTGTGGACGGACTGCAGTGGCACCCTCTTAAAGTAGTGCACCTCGGTTCGAATTGACGAGACCTAAAACCGCTCTGACATCCAAATACATGCTCTACCGAGATAATATGCCGGCAGCAACCCCAAGAAAACAGGCCAAGCCCCGGAAACCGAAGGCCGAAGCAAAGCAAGCGTTTTCGGCACGGCACATATACGTCTATTGGCGAGGGGCAATTGAAACACCAATCCTTATAGTTTGATTCACACTTCTTAGAAGTAAACACATCGTGGCGACACTGTCGTACTTCGGTCCCATGAACATGATCCATGCTTTGCCGTGAAATATCCCCATCATGTTACGCGGACTGACCGTAAAAGCAGCCCCCTAAAGTAATGTACCTCTTGCATGATTCCAGTTGGCGAAACCTGAAAGCGCCTCTGGCATCCAATAACATTCTCTACCGAGGTAGTACTCTCGTGTACAAGGTGCGCTGCGCTTATAAACATGTATGTACCGTACCGAAAACGTTGGCCTCGCTTCGGTCTTCGGTTTCCGGGGCTTGGTCCGCCCCCCCTTGGAATTGCTGTTGACACATGATCTCGGTAGAGTATGTCTTTGGATGTCAAAGCGGTTTTTAGGTCTCGCCGATTGGAATTATACAAGAGGTGCACTACTTTAAGAAGGTGCTACTACATTCCATCCGCACATGATGGTGACATCTCACGACTGTGCACGAGTCTTATTCATTGAACCAAAGTGTTGCAGCTCAACCGACATTGTCGGCACAATGTGTTTATTTCTACTTAGTGTAAATGACATTATAAGGACGGACTGCAGTAGCACCGTCTTCAAGTAGTACACCTCTTGCATAATTCCAATTAGCGAGTCATAAAAAAACCGTTTTGACATGTTTCAGGTGCCCCGTACGAGTAAACGTATATGTACCGTACCGAAAGCGTTGCCTTTGCTTCGGTCCTCGGTTTCCGATGCTTGGTTTCTTTCCTTGGGGTTCATGTCGGCATGTTATCTCGGCAGGGCATGTCTTTGCACATCAGAGCGGTTTTTTGGTCTCGCCAATCGGTATTATACAAGAGGTACACTACTTCAAGAGGGTGCTACTGCAGACCGTCCGCACATGACGGCAACATCTCACGACAAAGCATGAGTCTTATTCATTGAACCGAAGTGTTGTAACTGAACCGACATTGTCCGCACGACGTATTTATTTCTAGCAAGTGTGAATTGCATTATCCGGACCTGTGTATGCGGTGCACTGCGCCAATTAAAGCATATGTACCGTACTGAAAACGTGGGATTTACTTCGGTCTTCGGTTTCCGGGGCTTGGCTTATTACTTCGGCATTGTTGTTAGCATATTCTCTCGGTAGAGCATGTCTTTGGATGCCAGTTTGGCACGGTTTGGATGTTCCGATACGGCACATATACGGTAATTGACGTATATGTGCCGTATCGAACACGCTGGCTTTGCTTCAGTCTTCAATTTCCGGGGCTTGGTCCGTTTCCTTAGGATTTCTATTGGCATAATATCTCGGTAGACTATGTCTCTGGATGTCAAAGCGGTTTTTTATGACTCGCCAATTGGAATTATGCAAGAGGTGTACTGCTTGAAGAGGGTGCTACTGCAGTCCGTCCGCACATGATGGCAACATCTCATGGCAATGCATGGGTGTTATTCATCGGACCGAAGTCTTGCAGTTCCACCGACATTGTCAGCACGATGTGTTATCCGGACTCGTGTGTGAGGTGCACTACGCTAATAGACGTATATGTACCGTACCGAAAACGCTGCCCTTGCGTCAGTCTTAGTTTCCCGGGGCTTGGTCCGTTACCCTAGGATTGCTGTTGGCATAGTATCTCGGCAGAGTATGCCTCTGGATGTCAGATCGATTTAAGATCTCGCTCATTGGAATTGTACCAGAGGTGCACTACTTTAAGAAGGTGCTGCGACAGTCCCTCCGCACGACATGATGGCAGCACCTCACGGCAACGGAGTAGTCATATTAATTGAACCCAAGTGTTGTAGCTTAAGGGGCATTATCGTCACGATGTGTTTGGCTCTAATAAGTGCGAATCGCATTATCCGGACTCGTGTATGAGGTGCACTAATAGACGTTAACGTACCGCACCGAAAACGTTGGCTTGGCTTCGGTGTTGAGTTCCTGTGACTTGGTCGGTTTTTTAAGATTGCTGGAAATGCTTCGGTTCAACCGACATTGTTGGCTCTTTCTCTGTGTTGTCTGTTTGGAAATATCAAGTTAAGCTTCACAGCTGGAGATAAATTAGGAGTGCACTAATAAAGTAAGAAGTAGAAAGAAGTGCAATAAGGTAAGAGTGTAGGCACCTTTCTGGTTTGCGCGCGATGCGCCGTAAGTTATCAAATATTTGATAATAATGATCAAAGTTATGCTATGTACGAAGGCTCAGCGCACCAACAGATAATTCGAGACGCGAATGTGCAGAACTGGGATACTATTCTTGCTTTCTGTCCGTGATTTGGTGCTTATGTTGCCCTTCTAGTACGTGTTATAATTCGTCTGCTGCCTGCGTGTTAAAAATCACATTACTGGTTTGTTGCCGAAGTTATAATATTGTCAGATGACAATTTCTTGAAGATGATAGGTGCTTATGCGACCATTGTGAGTAGCAATGGTCGAAACGACAAAATGAATAGTGCTAATTGCCTGCCCATCATTTTTGGTGCTAAAGATGTTGTTTGGGTTGTATGACTTCCAAGTTGGGCAATCCTGCTAACGCGAGCTGGTTGTGCCCGTTTCGTACTGCGCATAAAGCGCTTGCGGTGGAGATTTTTCTTCTTCTAAAAAAGGTGAAGTACTTGAAGAATCCTTTACCGTGAGTATTTTCCCAATACTTCGGTAATAACAACGAAGCAATAATATAACGTCCGAGGCGTCCGAACACGTCGCGCCCCCGCCACGCGCCGCCATGCCATGGCCAACTCCCTCGCGCAACTGCCACTTGCTTGGCGCGTAGGCTCCCTAAACAACTGCCATATACCACAATGCACCAGATGCGCTATGCTCGGACCGTGCCTATCTACATTCCGCCGTGCTTGGTCTGTACCTGTTTACATCCTGGCGTGCTCAGTCTGTACCTGTCTAATCCCGGCGTGCCCAGTCTGCCTGTCTGTGAGGCCGGCTGTGATCGGTCCATGCCTGTGCGCGGGGGCCGACAGTGCTCAGTTCCTATAAATATGCTTAGTCTCTGCGAGTGTCGAGCCACGCATGTTGCACTCGTGAGACGTGTATGTGCGTTGCTATGTTCAACTTCAAAATGGCATGTGAGTAGAAGTATGAGTGGCAAAGCCGGTATACAGAACACCATATATATATATATATATATGGTGGTATATAT